CCGTTTATAGAACACATGCCTTAATACTTGCATTTTTCTCTGAATCATTGACCAACCCACAGACCTATAACCTTTTTAAGTAGATATGTTTGTTACTACTTAGCCGTTTTCTAGGGTAATATTACTATGTAGCTTGTCCTTGTCTGGGAGCATTTATTTGAGACTGTCCGAGCTGCTAGCCATGTGGATTCTGAGTGGAAAATATTAACTAGATTGTGCTATTTGCAGAAGACACGGAGTGACAGCTAAAAAAGCTCAAAACTTGGCACTCAGAAACATCAATACCGGGAATGAAGACAGTTTTACATTATGCTCTATTATAGTTATTTTCCTGCTAAGAAATTCAAATCTTCAGAAAGAGTCTTGTCTGCACACCTTGCTTCAGAGCAGTTATGGAAACACTGCGATTTTGTAATATTCTCATTGTGTATCTTACTGCCCTGTCGTCTCTCTGAATACTGATAAGTGTCTGTACTTTTGTGACAAGATTAGTGACAGGTTTTTACCAGAAAAAGTAATATTTCTTTTTACCAGCAGGCATTTGTTATTTCATGCACACATATTAGAACAAGAAAAAAAATAATCCAGGAACCCTTTTCCATGCACAGCTGTCAATAATGAGAAACTGGTAGAAAATTCTGTGTCTGTATTTTGGCAAGTCATTAAGTTACCTGTGTTTTGGCAGAATATTTAGAATCAATAAAGCCAGACCTCTAGTGTTTCCAGAGACATTTGCAGCATTCAGCAGTGGCTGAAAGGAACTGGTTCATTCAAGTATTTTCTGTGATCACAAGTAACAGCCCTTCACTTTCCAGAAGTTCTGAGATGATAGAAGCTGGTATCTGAAGGAACAGGAAGGGGTGCGGCAGCAGTATATACTCCTAAAGCTATCAAAGTACAGAAGGGACCTCTCTATACAACACAAGACAGAAAAAATAACTTACCAAGATAAAAGATTTTAGCATCTATACCTAGTCAAGGTTCCATGACTGAAATGAAGTAAAAGTAGACTGCATGGCATGTGTTCTTCTTTCTTCAACCTCTCTCCTTCTCTTCCCCCAAACCAAGCTTTTCCCTGCAAAATTCTCTCTCAGCTGCAAGTATAGGAGTGCCTAAGGGTACCCAAAATACACCTAAAGCTCTCTAAAAGAAAATAACCTGATGTCATTAGTTTTAAATTAATTGCACAAGGTCCAACCCTCCAGTAAAAAAAATTAGGGGGTCTATAAATCAAAAATGGCTGAAACTACACATCTAGAAAAAGACAGCCTACCTCCAGGATACTACTTTATTCCAAATACTATTATACTGAAAATAAAACAAATGTTAGCATTAAAAAAAACCCAAACTATTTGTACATACACAACTTGGACCTATTGTGCAATATTTGCATCACAAAAATTAGTAACTTCTCATATTTACATAAAACCAATGCAAGTTTTTTTAGGTTTTACATGCAAATTTTCTCACAGAGTCCATATATAATTATCCATATTTTAAAAATAGTTTGCTTTACAGTCTATGTTTTGCAGGGGTTCAGTTTTTAACAAAATTCCAGTGATTAAGCTCGCTGGCAAGTATGATCAAAAGTTAATCTGAGCAGCTATTGGATACTCTGAATGGAAAACAAACCTTATACTCAATGAACATGCATCTGGCAATAACAGCTGCAACCACACACATATAGATGAAAAATTTATCTATCTAAGTGCTCCATCAAAGCATTTAAAATTAGAAACATTTGAAAAAAATGTTCATAAATAAGCTATTGTTGAAGAATGAGAAAGTATCCAAATAATTGTGAATGTTATATTTGACAAAATTAACCTACTCAGAGACAACTTAAATCCCAAATAATTCTACAGCATTAAATCCTTGCCTAGATTTCATTAGAATCAAGAAAAATCTGATTTACAGGGAATTAAGGCATCCATACAACTTTAATAACATCAAGTTAACCAGACTCAATGATGAAATACAGTCAAACTGAGTCTTATGTCCCTTCAAACCACAAAACCTTTGAGAATTATGTTCAAATTTTTCTCAAAACATCTGTCTAAGGTAAGAACTACAGAGAGTAACTGCTGTCTGAAGCCAGTATTATACAAGCCGCCATGTGGCCTCTACTCTAATGGCTGCACTTTCACAAGGGAAACTTGACAAATTAAAAATACTGATAATAAATACCTGCACAATGAGACATAATTATACGTGTGTGTGTGTGCATGTCTGTGTTAAAGAACACAATTTTTTCAGCAGGATAATTCCAGCATGGAGGTTCTTCATCTGTGACTCAGGCCCTTTTGGAGAACTATGAACAAGAAAATAATTACACAACACCAGGTTGTTTCTATTTGGCTGAGAAAGAACCAAGTACATGTGAAAAAATGTTACCAGGGCCTTGCCAGATTTACGAGCTCAGGTTAGTTTCACAAATGCTCACCGGCAGCAAGAGCCAGTGTCACTGCATAAACTGGTTTATGTGAACAGATGCAACTGCTTCCCTAGTTGTTTGTCCCCATTACCACAGCAGGCCCTATTGTGCCAGAGTCTGTGTACCAGCACAACAAACCAGATCAGGAAACTCTTCCAGATGAAAACGTGCAGCTCTTTTGGTCTTCATGACGGCTCATCACACAGCCACACTCATGTCAGGACGGACGCAGCAGTGGCACCAGTGAAGGAAAAAAATCCCACCCCTTTCACAGGTAGCTTAGCAACTTTGCAAAATGACCAAAAGAGCCAACAGTGGCAAAAAATGTACCTGGAGAGGTGAGAGAGGAACTGGACCCAGTGAGGTACATCGCCATTTTTTCTTACATGGGGTTTAGCCCATTTGCAACAAATCCTTGGCAAAAAGGTTTAAAGGCAGCACTAAACACATTACAGAGACTCTAATAGCTGCTTAGAGTATTTGTGACTTACGTGGAATATCTAAAAGCACTATTGGAAAACTTGTACGCGGATTAGATGTTAATCTCTACAATTCGAGCTGTCCTTAATGCAAAGATAATGGGCCAGATTAGCTCTCAACAAAAACAAGAGAAATCTTGTAATTCTATTTTAATACTTGGTTTTGACATATAAAAGCCCTATTCAGGTATTTAATTCAAAGTGGATAATTTCAACGAGAAGCAAGCCTAACACAATGATAATGTCCATTATAATTTTTTCAAATCACATCAAGATGAATGAGTACAGCAGTTACAAAGGGTCCACCAGCGCCGGGGCATGTGCCTCCCTGCCACCACAGGGGACCAGCGGGCCCGCTTGCAAGGACACCACGTGCATCACACTACAAGTCGAGCTTCTTCGCAAGCTGCGCTGGGCCTTCCCCCCTACACTGTAGAAAAGACATGGATCAAATTTAAAAAAAAAAAAAAAAGAAAAAGCCCACAATAAATCAGGCTATTACATTAGGAAAACTGTGAATTAATGCTGCCTGCAGTGGTTCTTCCCACAGACCACCTGCCCGCGGGGCCCGAGCCAAGGAGGGGGTGGGGGTTACCACAGTGTCACCCTCACCAAATCCTAACCCCACTGTCACTGGCCCATCAGTGACACCGAGCCAGGCAGGGGGTGGGGGTTACCACACCGGCACCCTCATCAAATCCTAATGCCGCTGTCACCAGCCCGTCGGTGACAAAGGGCCAGGCAGGGGGTGCAGGTTACCACACCATTACCCTCATCAAATCCTAACGCCACTGTCACCGGCCCGTCCGTGACACCGGGCTAGGCAGGGGGTGCAGGTTACCACACCGGCACCCTCATCAGACCCTAACGCCACTGTCACCAGCCCACCAGTGCCACCATCCTAATGGCGCTGTCACCAGCCCATCCGTGACACCGGGCCAGGCAGGGGGTGGAGGTTACCACACTGGCACCCTCATCAAATCCTAACGCCGCTGTCACCAGCCCACCAGTGCCACCCGGCAGGGAGGAGGTGCAGGTTACCACACCGCCCACCCTCACCGAATCCTAACCCTACCGTAACCAGCCCGGCCGTGACACCGGCCCCAAACCGGTGACACCGGGGAGGGGGGGGGGAGAAACGGGACACACACGGACAACGGGAACCTACCCCCCTTCTCCCCCGCGACTACCTCAGTTTCCCTCCCAAGCCGTTACCCCGC